GGGTCTTCGCACCCTTTTGGGTGCTCGGACCCTAATAAATAATAATAATAATCACAACGGTTACAATAGGGTCCTTGCACTGGAGTGCTCGGACCCTAAAAATACGCCTAATGAGATAGAAAAGAAGACTTTGTTCTGATTCATACATATTGTGTTTGGCTAGTTGTCAGACGTGACACTTTGTATCAACCCGTATCTGTTAAACATAAAAACCTGCAGCCGTGTTATACAAAAGTCAAGATTTGAGAGTGTTCAGTTTTAATGAAACACAGCAACACTGGATTTTAGCATCAAACAAAAGTGAGACAGTCATCACAGGAAGTAGCTGGTGTCAGGACTGTTTCCCCCCCCAGCTTTATTTCTCTCCATCTGTGATTCCACCAAAATAGATCAGTCAAGATGTCCTCATATAAACCATGAATGAAAACATAATGCAAAAAGCTGAAGACATTCGAGACAACAAGACTGGCTCACACATTTCCACATGATGGAGGTATCTCTTGATCAGCTGTTAACATGTGCTAAGATAAAATAAACGGTACCACTAGATTAAAATATAATAGGATAAGACTTAAAAATGCAGTTCCCCAAATGGCCACTTGAGGCTGGTTCCAAAAGCCAGCCAATCCCCAAAGACCTCCATGTTACAATGAACAACTTTACAGTAGAAAATAAACTTGTTTACAGCCTGGTACGAAAATGACTTTGGCGTCTATGGGTAATTTACTCATTCAAGTCAACTCAGCTGTGGGAGATTTTTCATTTCACTCACATGTTCACATTTTATCACAAATTAAAGTTATGCATAATTAAGATACATCCTTGATGCAGGTGGATTTCCCGTCCTCTTCTGCAAGTCGCAAGTGACTTTCTCTTGCCAGTTTTAACAGCTGCAACAGCTTGCTAATGTGTCTTAGTTCTTGAAACATGTTTGTTTTCTTAGCAAACCCATGCAAAACAAACACGATGACTGACTGGCAGCACACTGATGATGGAGATCTTTGACCTTCCAGGGAAGTGATGTAGGCATCAATAAAATCTGAACACAAGTGTCCAGCTGGACACCTCAGAGACACAGTATCAACACGGGTGTGAACAGTGGTTTGTCTCAGCTGTCCACTTGTGTTAGGATCACTGCAAGGCATTTTGAAACCTTGAGCCTTACGCTGACAATGGTCCTCACAAAGGTACCTGGACAATGACACACAAACACACGCACACAGAATCACACTGCTAAGTTTTATTGTCCAGTCCAGGTTTGTTCCCTCGATGCCACAGTGATTGATGAATTACATTAGTGTTGTGGACATGTGTGTTTGTGTGTGCAGGTCATTAAACAGTGTGAAATCAGTTCTAGATTTAATTAAGGAAGAGATTGCACTAACTGAGTGAGGGCACTCTCAGTTGATCATAATTACTTTAGTAATTGCTTCATTCGGTTCTCCCCAGTGACTGTGTCTTGCAGACGGTGGATGTACATAAGAAATTAATCACAGAAGTTTGTGTGTTTTCACAGCACGTTATCTGTACAGAGTTTTATGACCCGACCAACCTTTGCTCTCTTGTTTTCTCTTTGCTCCCAGGGTGTCATTCATGAATTTATAAGCCAGGAATCTGTTTGCCGTCTGCCTCTGACGTATACGTACAGGTGAGCCTGTGTCTACATAGGTCGGCTAGTTATCTAGATTGTGTACATTCAGCACCGTCAGCTACAAATACCGACAATAAGACCATAAATGAATAAAACCGCCTCGGCTCACTGGTGTGAAGCAGAAACTCCTCCACTGACTGGCCTCTAATGTGTGCTGGCTCCGAGAAAGCTACAGAAAACATCATGGAAGCTTTATTAAAGCATGAACATTTTCCTGAATTGTAAACTCAGGTAGTCGGTGGAAACCAGTCACATGATGTTTGAAGACAAATGTCTCTCAGTCAATCAGCTCTGGTTGCGACCATAATAAAAGGGAATCCTGTTAGACATAGCAGCTTGTGACAATGATAACTCTGAGACTATATCACCATATACTCAAGACCACCACTGACAAAAACAACAGTTTTACCTCAAAAAACACCGGAGCTGCTGTCGACCACTGTGTGACATTTCATGTGGTAAAAATTCTATTGTAACACAAACAAACTAACCAACTGAGAACTCTATACTTCTGCAAGGTAAAAATAGTGTTTTGTTTTTTTTTACAATGGAGTCTGGTGGCTTTGAGAGTGATTTAACAGCTTCAGTTCTCTGCTACAAAGTCTGGCTGTCTAATGGAAAGACTCTTTAAAGTTACTCACTGTTATTATTATAGTGCGCTACATTTGCTGCCTGCAGTTTTATTTGAGTATATGATTCTGATTCTGTAAATTTATCCACTACTGCTCCTCAACAGTTCCAAATGTCCACTACTTGGATACAAAAATATGCTAACAATCCCACAATGTGTCGCATTTAGGTGGAAAACAATCTTCGCGAGACTGAAAAGGGACTAAAAAGGCATCAGTGATGTTGATAAAATCTACATCCACCAAAGCAAAGAGAATCTGAGATCCACACAGAAAAACTACAGCTTTTTAAAAAACCTACAGGCATTGCAGAGCGGGTATTTTTGTCTTCAACTCTTTGTTTTCACAAAAGTCCCCAACACTCGCCTCTAAAGCCATTTTATCAGCTTCTACAGCATCAAATCCTCTTTGTCCTTCTGTGTGGGGCTCATGGTAAAGGTTGTGCAATAAAGCCCTCTAAAAACCAAGATTACAAAACTGTATTCAATAAAAATTAAGGACCTGATGCAATACACTGTTGAGAAATATTCTGCTCCAAACCTGCTGTTGTATTGGTAGTGATTAGCACTGCTACAGATGAGTTTTGCCTGAGGTTTTCTTTGTTACAGAATCAAACTGGACGTTTAAGTTGTCCGCTGTCCGTACATTCATCAGTGAAGCTGCTCCTGTCGGCCACACAACAAGATTACTTTCATCTACAAACTGCCATGGCAGCATCAAACTTCACCTGGATGTTTCTGGGGGAATGATGGGACATTGATGCCAAATGTCGGAGATGTTTCAGATCGACTTGGATGGATTTTGGTAAATTCCTAAAACACAAGGAGTAACTTAGAACAAAAAATATGTAATTAATCAAGCTATGAGTAAGGTGTTCCTGAGAGAAATATGCTGCATTGCGTGACTGACAGGTGTATCTGTCACTATCACACAATTATTTTTATCATATCAAAGGCCAACTTATTCTAGTCCCCAATCATGCTGACATCAGATAACCAAATATTTTCATTGTTTTTACTATGTAAATATTCATTATTGCCAGAGCTCACCTTTAAAATAACATGCTATTGTATAATTCGCGATCAACTAAACTCATAACCAGTCTGTGCTGTGTGTGTTTGTCTGTTTCCACCAGTAAAGCAGACCTGGACACAACAACATTGAGAAAGTTATATGGCCTGCCTCTGTGTCTTTAAAGGTTGTACATTAACACGCTGATATGGAAAGGACAGGTGAGTGGCCGTTAGAGGAAGAGACGGAGTGTGAATCTGCGAAGGAAACAGCTAAGAGGAGAAACTTTGTTCTGGATATCGTTTGTGTAGAATATACATTTCAGTAAGGCTTCAGTGGATCGGATAACATTTCATTTCCGGAGATCCAAAGGAACTTTTTGGTGACAAAAGACACACTGGACTCAAGAGGATTAAGACGTAAACAAAGCTCTGAAAGCCTTCACCATACCATGGACTCACTTTAACAGCTCAAACATACACATGCTACCTTCAGAGCTGAGAATGGGCGCAAGCGGCTGGTGGCTGTGTTTGTGCACTTTGGGAATTCTTGCAGCTCCATGTGAAGCCACCAAAAATTGCCTGGATGGGACGTCAATCAGCGTGATTCTGCTGGAGGATGGAAAGTCTCCCTGGAGCATGAAGTTTGTGAAAGGAGAAATACTGAAGGCCATAGATATGGAGCCATCCGTCAACAGTGCAGGAGGTGAATGAATAAAGGAAGCATAAAAGCAGCTGCATGTGTAGATAGAGCTGCAGTGTCATATACATAATCTATATATATGTGTGTATGACTGCATGATCGTATGCACAGGTTTGGGAATTTGAGTACATTTATAATCGCATATTATTCATGTATAAAGTTTTCCATAATGCTGTGTTTTTGCTAAAATGTCACTGCACTTGTCTAAAAAGGTTTATGGTTGTCATCAGATAGTTTTCCCGAAATCTAACCATTTACTTCCTCAAATGTTGCACTATTTAAAGCTGTTTTTAACAAGTTTTACTGTTATTAACTACCAAAGTTAACTAGGACTTTTTGACCAAGTAAATCAGTGACTGATAAAAGATAAGTTATTACGTAGTCAGTGCAATAAATAAATAAATAAAGTGGGTCATTACACTATGAACCAGAGGAGCGTAATCTGTATTGCTTTATTCATGTTTTCTGCTAGCTTAGCTCAGCCTTTGGCCTGCATGATAACAGTCAAATTTATCATCAGCGTTGACTCACTTAGACAGGGATGGATTAACCTGCTATGCCCCCTGTGGGAAACATTTATTAAAGGGCTCCTATTGTTTGTTATAACTTGGTTAAACACAATTTTCCCAGTTACTGATTCAGCCCTGCAACTAGTCAGGTTTATTATTACTGGCGGTAAAATTAACCCCACACCTGTGGGAAGCACTACACAGTTTATCCATCCTTCACAATTTTACTCCAGCTTTAACAAACATCCCACAAAGTACCCAAAGCTAATACTTGGTTTTGCCTTTCTTTTCACACGCAACTCCAATAAAGATGCAAACTTTACTCTCACGGCCAACTTTGGCGGGTTCAACGCATCCTGGTTCAGAGGTGAAGGCTGCGCCATCACTCAGTGTGGGGGAGTGGAGGAGCTAAAGAAGTTCCATGTAAGTAGCAACCACTTTATATCTGCCTTAGATGCATGATATGATTTTTATCAGCAGAAACACAGACTCTTCCATGCAATAGCTGCCATTAGCGGACAACCCACTCTGCCAACAGAGCCACAGCTGTCCCTAAAGGCGTCATCTCCTAACCTTAGCTATAAGGTGCTAGTGACTCGGGTGAAAACTGAGGCTCAGCTGTTTTCTTTTGCAGGAACAAGGTGAGCTGGGATGTGCCGTGCTTGGGCCCACCTGCACCCATGCTACTTTCAGCATAGTTGAGTAAGTCTAAGTTTACATGTGAACACAGTTTGGATATACAAACAGGATCTGACAATCACATGTGCTACCTTATGGTGACTTTAATCCCTTCAAAGTGGATCCCTCTCTCTTCTGTTTTTCCCTGTCAGTGCTGAAAAAGGCATGAAGCTCAAGACTCCCATCCTCTCGGCCGGCAGCTTTTCTCCCTCCTGTGACGACAAACCCAACTTGCAGCGTCTCCTGCCGCCGGCAAAGAAGATCTCTAGCTTTTTAATCCACTTCTGGGAATACAAAGACACAATCAAACCTGAGTGGACGACAGCCTACATTTACAAAAAGGCGAACGATGGAGAGGATTGCTTTTGGTGAGTTACTTCAGAGAAACTCACCCTTGGAAGTAAATTATGTGTAAAATGACTTTATTATGCAGTCAGGTGGCTCTTGTTCCGGTCTACAACATGTGACAAGGTAATATGTAATATTCAAAGGTTATCAAAAACAGGAAAATTGTAATGATTAGTTAACGTGAAGTGAAGACATATAGGACGTCTTTTGAGTTCTTCTTGCTAAAACGAACAGCAGAGGGACCTTTACAGTAAAACAGTAATGTGACTATCTTAGTAAATGTGTCGTTCCTCCACAGGTATGTAGAGGCACAGAGTACAAGCGTGAGCGAGGTTGGCCATTCTATTGGGAGGACAGTGCTGCGCAGACCTGCAGAGATGGAGGATGTGCTGAATTCACCCGAGAACAGGGACAGCAATCGTAAGTTGCAATACAAGCTGCAGTTCTTAGAAACACTGATCAGATCGACAGTGACGACACACACCATAAACTTCAGTGCTGTTCAGTTAAAAGGTTAAAACTTGATTTCTTAACATGAAAAACCTTTAAAGTTTCTGCTGGATATTTTTGTCCCAAGTTCACAACATGGTGGACTAAAACAAAGTGTATACCATGAAAAACATTTGACTTTCAGAGGTCAAAAATGATCAGTTTTGCCCTTCAAAGTATGACCTTAAATGACAAATTACATCACAGCAACCACTGGAGCGCTTCACCCCCTGGTTTTCAAGGTGAAAAAAGAGCAGTTTGGCTTTGGTATTAACTTTGCTTCCAAGGTTGAAAAACACATTTAAATGTAAACCAAAGCTTTAGGCTGAACAGTGTTGGCTGTAGGGCTTCCTGTAAGGCCACCAAGGCTAAAAACGCCTCCACCGTTGAGCTGTGCTGTGACATACATTCTCTCTGTTTGCAGTGTTCTTCTTGTGTGGATCGCCGAAGGATATAGTGGAGTTGAAAAACATCTCTGAGAGAGCAGAGGACAGTGATATTCTCTTCATCCTTGTTGATCTTTTCAAGTCAGTGCTGCGTATTCACTTATTTTCTTTTCCTTCCCAACTTCCACCACATATCTTGTTGTCTTTATTGTCTTGTCTCTTTTTTCCTGCTACTTGCTGGATTTGTCTGTAGACATAGTCGTGAACAAAAGTTTACATACAGTTGAACCCCTAAAACACATGCGTCACAAAAAACAAACGTGCATTTTGTTTCTTTCACACATTTATTATTGGTCTTCTGGAATAATGACAAAATCTGCTGGATCAAAAATATACATACAGCAACTTGAATGATTTTGGTGACGTAGAAAGCAGTGTCCTCTGGTGAGCGACTACAGCTGCTGACTTCTCTGAGCAAATTTAAACAGGACCCATTTGATGGACTAACGATTAGACTCATCCACAAACACTGCAGTGTGAAAATCTGAGGAGCTGAACAAAGATCTGAAAAAGCAAATCATTGGCTTAAAGTCAGGAAAGTCACTTAGAGCCACTTCAAAGATGCTTCAAATCCCAAATCCAAAAATCATCTGTGCAAACAATTATTTGGAAGTAAAAAGTGAATGCTACAGTTTTGTCACTGCTACGATCAGGAAGAAAACGTTATCACTTGCTGCTGAGAGACAATTGGGTAGGATCATCAAGAGTCAAGCAAAAATTACCAGAAAGCAGGTCTGCAATGAATTAGAAGCTGCTAGAACACAGGTGTGAGTGTCTGCTTTTTACACATTTTAGTCAATCAGAAGTCAGAGATGAGGCTTGATTGGTTCTAATTAAGTCTGTGGGGTAGAAACTATAGAGCTGGCTTAGCAACCAAATACAACAAAATATTATGAGTACATATTACTGTTTGCTATCATTTACCTGCTGTATAGATGCTCCAACACTAAGGATGCTTCATAAGACATATTCCTGTACAAGATGCACTTTAATAACTCCTCTGCTTCCTCTGCACAGTGACATATACTACACCAACACAACATCAATGCCAGAAATGAGGAATGTGCTGGTGCTGACTATGCCCGACATCAGAAATTACAAGATTAACACAAACCTTGAGGTGAACAACACGGTAAGTGGAATCAAAAATACTTGACTTGTTTTTTTTTTTTTGCAGGACTATTTTGTGGCTGGATACATTGACTCCTTGGATTTTATTTTATTTTTTTAAATTCAGCAAGGCTCTTCTGCCATCTGAATTTAAAGATCTGCTGTTTGTATCTTTATTTTCTGGGTGGGCTTGTTTTGTTAAAGTGATATATTATCAATTATTTCAAATAGTATCGAGTCATGCAGATAGTTTTGGTTCCATTTGCCCAGTTTTGAGATTGAAAAACTGGAAATTGCCAACTAAATTCTACAGAAACATCAGAGTCCTTGTTACTCTGAATAATCTGCAGAACAGCAACGCTGACAGAGAAAGTATTTCCAACTCTGTGCCTCTCTCTCTGTGTCTCTCTCTGCAGATGAACGACTACATGGCTGCGTATCACGATGCAGTGCTGCTGATAGGCAACGTGATCAGACAAATTAGGGAAAAAAATCAGTCAGAGATCGTACAGATGGAGTATGTGAACCCCAATTACTTCCGAAACATCCAATTTAATGGTAAGAACAAAGGCGTAATATGTGGAAGTGAAAGTAAAGTCAGTCTTCACCTCCAATGTTCGTACAGTTCGGTGCATCGACATGTTGACATTGACGCTGTAAGCTGTCACCATACTGGTTTTAGGATTTAGTAACTATTCTTTTGGCAAAAACGGAGTCCACATTAAACACCATGAGTCTAAAAAAATACTGGAATCAGCTTGTGAAATGCTCACAGTGTCCAAATCCCTCCCCGTAGTACTGACACCCCAGATCCAGTGGCCCTGAAAGCAGCCCTGAGAGCTGAAGTCAAACAGATGGAGGCTGTCTGCTTCTGTCACTTATTTGTGGTTTTCGGTGACATGGTGAACAGATTCGGTGTTGTGGCCCGCAGGCTGCAGCAGCCTGTGTGTAACTGGGAGTGAGTGTGAGACACACTATAAGAGACGATGCTTATTCATAGTGAGATTAAGACAATTATCTGAAGCACTGTGAGCAGGAAAACCAAGATTTTTGTGGTAGCCCAGTAACAATATTATAGAACTCTTCCAGTTGGGATCACTGTTGGAGTGGTTACACCGATTATATCTGCTTCATGATTGTTGAAATATTGGCCATAAATGCAAAAAAAGTGTGCCTCTGACTGGCACCATACTCTACATGTTTAAAGCTTAGGGTCTTAGGGTAAAAAATAAACGTTTTATGGTTGGTGGAATATCAGTAGACAGAAACATTCAACAGTCATATAACTGGTCTGTATTGTTCTGTCAAAGCGGGGTTGTATCATTGAAGACCATACAGTCGTCCTCAAATGTATTCATACCCTTCCATTAAAGAAAAGGCAAAATTTACAATAGTCACTCAAATAAGCAGAAACTGAAAAAAGTAATAATAAATAAAAAATGTCTAAATTACAATTCAGTGAAATAAGATGTTGCTTTTGAATTTTGGGTGAAAATGAATAATTAAAAAAAACAAAAACAAAAAACTGTCCCGGATAAATTAGAGCAATTTGCTGATGAGCAGTGGGACGAAATCAAAATACCTGTCAACAGGTGCAGAAGTCTGATTGAGAGTTACAGAAAACACTTGATTGCAGTGATTGGCTCAAAGGGCTGTTCAACAAAATATTAGTCCCATCATGCTTGTTTTGTTTGTTTGTTTGTTTGTTTGTTTGTTTTAAAAAAATATTCCTGTTGAATCACAATTCAAAAGCAATGTCATGATTTTCATGATTTTTTAATTTATTATTACTTTTGTCAATTTCAGCTTATTCCAGTGACATCTGTTTTTTACCTTCTTTAATGGGAGGCTATGAATACATTTGAGAACGACTGTATGTACATATCAATGAGCCTGCAAGGCATCAGGACTCCAGCTACATTATTTATCGAGTTCAAACTCCACAGATTGCCACAAAGAAAACATTGCAAAAATCAACTTGACTCCACCTTCTGTAAGACTTATTAACTCAAAAACTAATAGAATAGAATAGAATACAAAAATATTTTATTTATCCCAGTCTGGGAAATTACTGTGGTACAGCAGCAGCAAGAAAAAACACCAATCACAACAGAAAAAGAGCTAAAGTTAAATACTGTTTAAAAAATTAAAAATAAAAATAAGTGAATAAAAATGCTACGTATAATCCAAGATCTTACACATGGTTAACTCAATCAGTATTCACCACTTAAAAAACAAAAAATCTGTCTAATTGAGGGTGGTCAGGTGTGGGGCGTTCGGTTTGTGTATGAAGCTTTTTCTATGATTCTGCTCAGGAACTGCTGGAACTTACAAGCTGGACAAGAAAGGGGACAGAGACGTGACCCTATCCGTCATTTACACCAACAGTAACAACCAGGTACCTCGCTCTCCTGTGTGAATTATTTCTGCTATACTGTTAAAAATAAATAAGTGAATAATTTTTGCAATCTGTAATTTTTCCTTAATATTTCACAGATTTGTGAAATATATGAAAATAATATTAAAATGACAAAAAACAGGAATTTACATATCTAATTTTAAAAAAATGTATGTAATTTATTCAAAGATAATTTCTTTATATAAAAATAGTGGGAATATAGATTTGTAATGTATGTGCTCAATTTGTCAACTATTTCCTTTTTATTAAAAATAAATAAAACTACTAAATTCAAGCCTAAACTGTACATATATTTCTGAAATTGGACACAATTTGACAATTAACAGAAATAGAAGTATCGATGGTGTCACTTTACAGAGAGTTGTTTGTTAAATGAGAGTTATTGTGTATAATTGCAGAAGTTGTCACTACAAAAATATCAAATTAATGTGTTTTAATGAACATGTAGTAACTAAAAGCATTTGTAATTTGCCAAAATATATCTGTCTGTATGTTCATACTGTATATATACATGTATATATATATATTATTCTAATTGTTTTATATTTTAGGTAATTTCATAGTTTAGTACACATGTCTTAATTAAACATTAAAAAGCCAAAAAATTCACATGATCTCATGTAAAATTAAGCTACAACAATGTATTTCATTAAGAAAAATTGTATTTCTATGAGACAGCTGCTCCTTTTTCTTTTCCTTTTTTTCTTTTTCTTTTGGGTTTTATTGTGTATTTGTCAGTCAATATACAGAGAAACACAAATCACTCTTTTAAATTATTATTATTATTTTTCTCTGCACATATGTCACAAAAAGAGGTTTCAAAATTAAACCGCTCCACTGCTCAATGCTTGTTTTTATGCTGAAATGTGTCATGTCGTCCTCAGTACAAGATCTTATTCAAATTCAACACGGAGACCAACGAAACTATAGTGGTGGACTCGAATCCGTCCTTCATCTGGGGAAAAAGACTTCCTAATTCCAATCGAGATGCAGGTACAACTCACTCACTCACTCACTCTCACACACACACACACACACACACACACACACACACACACACACACACACACACCCTGACTGTGTCATCAGCTGTAATCATTAACACTTACCGTCAGTGACTATCAGCTGTGAATTGCTACCAGTGAGATGTGCTATCAGGCGGCACCGTAGTGATCTGAGAACCAACTCTAGATTGAGACGGAAGTTTTTACTGCCTCGGAGGTTCAGTGGAAAGTGTCCCAGTTAGAGAGGAGTTTGTGTTTCAAGGTCGAAATACTGTTAAAGAGGCCTTTAAACCCCTTTGTCTCTGATTTGCTGTAAACAGTTTGCATTTGCAGTCAGCAACTTAGAGCCACTTTCAACAGCAGTAAGGAGGTCATATGAGCACTGAGACATGCTTTGCTTGCTGTAATCATTCCTCTAGTTCATACTGGCCAAAAAATCGATCACATTTCTTCAGATGTGATCGATGAGGGACAAAGTCTGTGATCTTTGTTCTGTGCAAAAATATATTCCAGGGTTCAAGTGAAGCAAATTTTTTAAATTACTCTTATCAATCATAAATAAAAGCAATGTCTTATTTCACTAAATTATAATTTAGCAAATTTTTATTTATTATTACTTTTTCAGTTTCTAGTTATTTGAGTGACGATTATGAATTTTGCCTTTTCTATAATGGAAGGACGACTGTACATGGTTGAGAGGACTGTGGCTCTTGTCCCACTTCACTGACACTGAGTTGCATTGAACAGAGAAGTTTTAAAGTTATAGTATGGGAGTTGCCACTATTCAGATTAGGCCACAGTGGATTTATTTGTGAGTTTTAATCTGGTTTCTACGGTGACATTCACCAGCCGGCACACCGGTTTTATGTCAACCAGTGGTGGAGAAACATAGGAGGTTTCTGAGCAAAGTTTTGATGCTCCAGGTAAAAACAGAAAGTTAGTGTTCAGATGAGAGACTACAGTCTAAAAAAGCTAAAAAAGCAAGTAAATGGACAGTCAGGAGTGCATCACAAGCGCTCATCAACACTGTTTGTGTAATTATGCTCACTGCCAGAAGGGGGAGACAAAAGTTCAAGCCACGGTCCCTGAGCTTGTTCTTGGAGGAGGTTGTTTCATCCTTCCCTCTGTCACTGTGTTCTCAGGTTTCTCTGTATCAATTCTGGAAGATCTTCACCTTACTATGTGATGTGCTTTGAGATAACGCAAGCTGTGAATTGACGCTATATAAATGAACTGAAATGAATTCAAAAGTTTCACTTTACAGGTCTGTGAAGATTATCAGTCATCCAGGTCATGGTTATTCTGGTAGATTATTCTGATTTAAACTAATTTTACAGTGTGGATGAACAGAGGTTACAGCAAACATAACTTGTTTCAATATTCATGTGAGAACCTGGTTATTGGAAGACATGCTTAAAAAAGTCAATGCGCTGTTTTTCACCAGTACGACACAATATCACAGAGGGGGAGGCTGAGGAAGGTTAAGGGACTGTGGGAGTCAACAGCATGAGCATTAATATTGTTATTGAAGAGGAACAGTGTCCTGGTATACAGTCTGAGCCGTGTACCTGCATGAATGATTGAACAGCAGGGAATGAACCGATGACTGTCGCACACGAATGAAACTGTTGATGCCAATCAGACAATGCAGAGCGACGTCACTCATCTTCCTGAATGAATGCTGGGATTCTTATTTTGAAATTCTACTTTGCACCAACTTTTACTGAGACTGTCTCATATGTTTTTATACACAGTAGCTTTAATGTTGAGGAAATACATTGCAGATGAGGTACCTGGCAGCTCAGTCTGAGTTTACCAGCTGTCCTGTTATTATAAATGTACCCTGATGTGGATGAGTCTGAACTGAAGCTCTGTTTTTCTTTTTGCCTTGACGACTGCAGGTACGGCAGTTGATGGTATTGTTGTCATTGTGTTGGGCGTCACAGTGGCTGTAGTGGCCACTATCGCCTTTATTTTCTACAGGTACGTTACAGTACACTTACACGATGTAATAAGGAATAGGAGCTGAGAATAAAGGGAAGATGTTGAACGCTAAACTGTAAATAAACCACAGGAGTTCCAGTGTCAGCTTGCAATTAAATGTTCATCTACTATCTAGTATCTTAATGTAAGTGCTTGCACCAGGTGAAGGTCAGATTATTAGGAATTAATTACTAAATACAAATTACATGGAATTTTTGTAATATATAATGTAATCCACTGAATTATTTTTTTTTTTAAAAAGGAAACCGAATTCGAAGACATTTGGATCACTTTAAAATTAAACACTGAAAAAGAGAAATGGATGCAGCCACTAATGTTTCAGTTCCATAACTATTATTTTTCTCTTTAATAATCTTAAAACATCTTAAGAGCAAATAATTTTCATTTGCATATTCAAAACTTAGTTGTTCAGATTAAATGAACCGTTCAAAAACAGCGCATTAGTTTCACAACAGGCTGGACGCTGTTTCTGTTGTGTCCTTTTTTGTTTGTTTTTGTTGCTGTTTTTAATTAAAAGTCGCACAGAAGACACAAGAAGAGCACTTACTCAAAATCTTCATCTTCTATTATTACTTTAAATGAAAAAGATTTTTTAAAAAGCCTCCATTATCGAAAAATCATGAATGATGAAACAACAAATGTTTGCTAAGTCATTAAGAAACTAGCAATCTGAGAGAAGTATTGATGCACAACGCTATTTTAAAAATTGCGATATTTCAAAGACGTAATCAGAATGTCATTAAGTACTCTGTGACGATGCAACTGTAATTTAATTACACTTTTTTTTTTAAAAAAATGGGCTGATTGTAGTTTTCCTAGGTGTAATCTGTTTATGCAAAGTTGGTTATATTTAATCCATTACTAGCTAACATTTTAACTGCATTTCAATCAGGTGAAGCTGATCACTGGACACAGTCAATATTCAGCTCTTCTGAGTTAATGTAGGAGGGTTTTTATAGGTCTTATTACTTGGTTAAAACAGCTTTATATGTATTATAAATATATATATTACTACATAACTCAATTATGAATAACTGAAATGAATAGTTAAGGTTACAGGAGAACAGAATGTCATATAATCTAAGGAAAAAATGCAAATTAAATACAAGTTTGAGGCACGAGTGTTGGAATTATACCACTAATTAAAAGAGTTTTCATTCAATTTAACATATCTAACATGTTAGTGAGGGATATTTTTGTCCTGATTTTAGAGCCAGCTTAAGTTTTTGTATGAAATCAAATGTATGTCTTATGTACCAGCAGCCTTCCACATCTGTATTTTAATGCCCCGGGGGGTATTTTGTTTCCTGTGCAGACAGAACAGGAGGGATCGGCGGCTCAGGAAGGGCTGGTCCCACATCAACCCTGAGCTCATCACGCCGCTGCAGAACAACAAACTCAACGTCATCTCCCTCAAAGTAAACAAGATGTGAACCTCCCTGTCAGCATCATGCAAAATTCACATTGTGTTTTTTTTTTTTTTAACAAAGGGCTCCATGTAGAACAGGGAAACTAAAATATGTGATCACACAACAGTTTTCTCATCTTTTTTTTTTCTACAAACAACTTTTACAAAAACAACTTGAGTTATTCTTGAATGCACAACACGTTAATGACCTTCATCTGCTCACAACAGATTGAAAAAGAGATGAAAAACAAGAATTACAAGATCCGCCGTGCGTTGTACGACAAGAAGGTAGCTGGACACAGCAGCCTGCTGCGGTTTCCAAATCATTCAACATACTTTAGAACAAGTTGATGTAGTTTCATTGGTTCTGCTTCAATATTTCCAGATTGTGATTCTGAAGGAGCTGAAGAACTCAGATGGGAACTTCGATGAAGCCCAGAAGATAGAACTCAATGCAGTAAGATGCACACATTGGTTTGGGTGATGTTTTTTTGCTGTTGTTTTTTAATTGATTGGCTGTCCTGACAGATTTGTGTTGCCAGTAATCTTTGTTAATATTTGTCCAAGCTGACCAATGTGTGTCTTTGTTCCTTTTCCATGCAGCTGCTGCACATTGACTATTACAACCTCACAAAGTTTTATGGCACAGTGAAGTTTGATCAGGGAGTGTTCGGAGTGTTTGAGTACGGAGAGCGTGGGTCGCTCAGGGTACGTACAGAATGTCACCACAGTCGTACAAAACAAGCAACAAAACATCAAATGCAATTGCACAATATTATGATTTCACCTTTCATTTAGACAGAAAGAATAAAATAGCAGAACTCATGCAGATATACCACCTGTCCTTTTCCAGTATGTGCTGAATGATAAGGTTTCATACCCAGAGGAGGCCTTCATGGACTGGGAGTTCAAGATCTCCGTCATGTACGACATCGCCAAGGTGAGACAGATGCTCCTGATTCTGCTGATAAACAATCACAAGGGGCATCACAAGGAGCATTATGGCACCACATGTGTAGCTTGAAACATAATTCAGTGTCCTGGAGGTGAGCAACAGTCACGTGTATCAGTCATGAAGCAGGAAGACTTCCTCAACAATAGCAATCAATAACAGGGATAATACCATCCTCTGATCATTTTTGTGTGTTAAAAACTTGACTTGGTGCTGCCAGTTATTACCTGTTGACTTTTATTACTTAAAATATTAAATATATGTTGAAGTAATGATACAGAACATTCCAAAAATGGAGAAAATCACACAATAACATTACACAACCTAATAAATGAATAGACAAATTATACGAGACACTGATTTAAATGGATAAGATATGAGGCCACAAACTTAATTTATGAAACTATCTACATTTAGTTAACTAAAAATGATCAGATTTATTCATGCCCTTCCATTAAAGAAAAGGCAAAATTCACAATAGTCACTCAAATGACAAGAAACTGAAAAAAGTAATAAAAATTTTCTAAATTATAATTTAGTGAAATAAGACATTGCTTTGAATTGTGGTGGAAAAGAATAATTTGAAAAAAAAAACAAAAAACAAAACTGTCCCAGACAAATTAGAGCACTTTGCTGATGAGCAGTGGCCAAAATCCAAATAAACAAATACATGTACACCTTTTAGAAGAGGTTTATGCACACACCTGGTTCACAAACCAACACCATTTTTAGTTAATTTACATATGTGAATGTTGGTATGTGTGTGCACATCATTATGAGGTTTTATATTACTAATAATATACAGGAAAGGAATGAAATAAATTGCAATAACATGTAGACATGAAATGTTGGCCTTTAAACCCTGTGTAGCACGTACAGCCACACTGTCACTTTGCAATATGATTACAAAACAACACTTTAATGTGATGAATAATTATAATATTCTACTAAATAATTAGCTCGACGAGCAGTGAACAAATTTTATGTCGGGATATTTTAATGTTCACACCAGCGAAAGATGATTTGAATGATGCAGAGGTTACTAATAACGATTGGAGTTGCAGTTCCTACTTGCTGCCAGTAGAGGTCAGTAAACATCAAACTAGACTCACTGCCCCTTTGATTGATGGGAAATCTGTCCTACACTCTAATTCCTCTGTGCAGGGCATGTCCTACCTGCATGCCAGCGACGTCCAGGTGCACGGTCGCCTCAAGTCCACCAACTGTGTGGTGGACAATCGCATGCTGGTGAAGATCACAGACTTTGGCTGCAACGCCTTCCTCAGCCCCGGTCAAGGTGAAACCACAGGGGTCCAGCCTCCCAGTGTGTTTTGTTAAGTTCTTCACCTGCTTACATTCCTATTTTTCCTCATGTGTCTCTGCATCCTTGTCCTCTCAGACTTGTGGACAGCTCCGGAGCACCTGAGGAAAGAGGGCACCTCTCAGAAAGGAGACGTCTACAGCTTCTCCATCATCGCTCAGGAGATAGCTCTCAGAAAGAGCACCTTCTTCACCGAGTCCTGCTCCGACCGATCAGGTGTCAAACACTCAGTCAGCCAGTGCTCAAGATGAAGCTCACATTAAAAAGCTCAAATACAGTCACATGTAAAAATCAACTTTTTGCACAGTTCAGAGGCGACTGATGTGTTCATGCATGAGGTCCTGTTTGATCCTCAGCGAGATTCACTCTGTGATCCTGTTATCTTGTCGTGAATAAATAAATGTCTGTGTTTCCCAACAGAAAAGCTGTCCAGGGTCATCGCCTCCTACTTCAGACCTGATCTTAACTTTGAGACGGCTTCAGAGAACGAATCTGAGGTTTTTACCGTTTATGTGATCCCACTTTGCTTACATGTTTTACCTGATAAGTCTTTAAAGCTTTGTCTTTACTGTCTTGCAGGTGTACATGCTGATAAAAAGCTGCTGGGATGAGGACCCAGAAAAAAGACCTGACTTTAAGAAGGTAGAGAACTGCCTGGGGAAAATCATCAGGTAATCACTCTCACTTTATGTTCTTGTGGGCATGGATTACATAAACCTAGTTGCTTCTACTGAAATGAACTTTCCCTCATCGTCCAGTAAAATCCACAACCAGGACAATGAGAGCTACATGGACAACATGATCCGACGGCTGCAGATGTACTCCAGGAACCTGGAGCACCTGGTGGAGGAGAGAACAGCGCTGTACAAGGCCGAGAGGGATCGAGCTGACTGCCTCAACTTCATGCTGCTCCCTGGGTGTGTTCACACTTAGAGGAGCAGCACAGATACTAAAATCATACATACACCCTACATAGAGAACTGTTTATGGTTCTGAATACCCTTTCAGTAGAAAACTGGCATTATCTGAAAACCAGTAGCTGAAAACGTGGTATCAACCCAGTGACTCACAACCATCAGTCACTGCTGCTAACTTCTGAAATTCAGCTCCTTCTTTGAGGGAAGATTAAGTAGTTTAAGGTAATTAATGTAGTAGAAAGTAATTTAAATACATATCCATGTATTACGTCACAACGTGGGCCCCTAAAACAGTTAGCAAGCAGACAGAGAGGCAAATAGGAACAGTTAACTACAACTACGTGGTTTGAACAGATCAGAAATTTCAATAAACATTTGAAATAGCTAATTAAAGTAGCTCGACGGATTAAATAGGTAGCTAAGTTATGATAAATGGTTGCAATAGCTAATGAATTGTTGAAATAGTTCAGTGGATCATCCTGTGTCTCCATGTGAAGTCCGGTGGTGAAAAGCTTGAAGGAGACCGGCGTGGTGGAGCCAGAGCTGTACGACGAGGTGACCATATATTTCAGCGACATAGTCGGCTTCACCACTCTGTGCCAGTACAGCACACCGATGGAGGTGGTGGACATGCTCAACGACATCTACAAGGGCTTTGACAGCATCGTCGACAACCACGATGTGTACAAGGTACTGACGTGTGACTTTCAATAGATGAACAGACTGATGAATGGCAGCACAGAAAACACACATAATGTCTTGTCCTCAGGTGGAGACCATCGGTGATGCCTACATGGTTGCCTCCGGGCTTCCGAGGAGAAATGGGAACAGGCATGCGGTGGATATCTGCCGCATGGCGCTGGACATCTTGGCCTTCATGGGCACCTTCCAGCTCCGACACCTGCCTGGTATCCCTGTGTGGATACGTATCGGCGTCCACTCAGGTAGACTGGATGTTCCTTCTTGTCTGTCTGTAGGCCTAAACTCAACGAGATGAGCATCCTTTCTTTGATCCTTTGCCCGACTGGTTCACCTCACTTTCATCTTTTTTTCTTTTCTAAACAGCTTTAATCAGTGACGGGAGACTGACTGGATATTTGTGGGTTTTGTGTGTGTCCAGGTCCCTGTGCAGCAGGTGTTGTTGGTATAAAGATGCCCAGATATTGTCTATTTGGAGACACGGTCAACACAGCGTCTCGTATGGAGTCTACGGGACACCGTGAGCACAGGAACAAACACATGCAGAGAGACATTTAACGAGCAAACTCATTTAAACTGACATTTCCTGCAGCCACCTCCTCTGTCCCAGTTATTTTACATTCCCATCCTACAACACAAGGCTCAAGTGCAATTACAGAAGCTACCAGTCACTGTGATTAAATAAAATGACCACAGCCAAGCTCTTCTGTTTCTTTTTAAAATATATCTTCCAGCCCTGCGGATCCACGTCAGTCAGCCGACTATAAATATCCTGCAGAGGACAGTTTGCAAGTTTGAGTATGAGATCAGAGGAGAAACATATCTGAAGGTAAATATGTGTCTCTTTGTTAAATTTAGCAAACATGTCAGTAGGACAAAGAGTTTTGAAATGAGTTCAGAAAGCCTGATAACGTGTGGATTTCACTTCCACACAGAGGTAAATTAATGGGTGTTCATGTGTGTGTTTTCCAGGGTAAAGGCACCGAGATGACCTACTGGCTGACAGGAGAAACTGGTGAAGACTACGACCTACCGACTCCACCCACAACGTGAGTAAACAGCCCAACTCTTTATGTTTGACCCGTATGCTGTACCTGTGTTTATGTAGCCTGCTTAGCTGCTGTTTTGAGATCGATGATAAAATGTTTGGGTATAACGTGATTGTCCACGATAACTTAGTTGTGCAAATGTGATATTGCAACACAGTACTATGTTCACTTATAATCAGATCTTTGAATGAAATATTCATTTTTAGCAACTCATTAACTTAAAAAGCTGCTTCTGAGAACACAGGTCGACTTCACATTAAATGAATTGTGTAGAAAATGGCTACTTGACCTTTATGTCTTCATGCGTCACCTGCTGGTTCCTTCTTTTTCAGAGAGAACTTCCAGCGGCTGCAGCAGGACCTCGCCCACATGATCCTGGAGTGTCTGGAGCGCCGCTCTCGAGGATCTATCCGGAGGAAGAAGACTCTCTCAAGTCAGAGCACGGAGGACGACAAGGACCAGGAATCAGAGGTGGAGTCTGAGAGCAGCCAGCTGGAGTATCTGCACATGGCCACTGTGGAAAACACCCTCAGCACTTTCCTATAGGACAAAATCTGTTGGTGCACGATGCAGTAAGAGCAGGAAATCAAGCAGCAGGTGGAGGCACGGTGGGGGAAAAGGAGGAAGGACTGTGGTTTAAAAAAAAAAAAAAAGTTCTCAGATCTTCTATGTACAAAACAAGTGCTGTGTATAAGAGAAGGGTATGTTTGTCGTTAGCTGGTTTGTGCTGCATATGGTTTTATTTCAGGATATATTTCTGACATGCAGAAGTGACAAACTTCTTTTGCTCCTTTTGATAATATGAACAAGCGCTGTACATGGAGCATTTTTCAAATTCCACACTACAAAGTGCTTCACAAGGGCAGTGGGAGCAGTCATGAAATCATCAGGCTTTGGTCATTAAAAACCAACACAGTGGAGGAAACCATGACTGCAAACACTGTTTCCTTCAGTTTTCAGTCGAGGCTCCTCTAAATGGACAAGAGGGCTCAGCCTGAGGCCTGTACCGGAACATGTCACACTAAGAGGTCAGATTTGGTTGAAAAGAGAGGCCATAAAAGTAATTACTGAAGCCCTGGTTTAAAAGCAAACCACAGTGAGCAGAGCTGTGAAGATAACAGGCAGCCGAGCCGGGACACAACCTGTTTGTTTGTTTGAATTGATCAGCTGCTTTCTTTTGAGGTTTAACCGAGGTCATGAGGAGAATCAATGCCTCAGACTTCACTCAGATAATATTATTGAATACACAGGCGGCACTTTTGCAACATGACATATTCATTTTTTGTTAAAGTTATTTATTTCAGTTGAACTAAGTAGCAGCCAAGGGAGATGACGGAACATTTTCACACAGACCCGATTTGACCGACGAGCCAGAAGTTGAGCATCACTGATATAGACCTTCCTCCTACAGTTGTCCTCAAATGTATTCATACCCTCCCATTAAAGAAGGGAAAAAACAGCTGTCACTGAAATAAGTTGAAATTGACAAAAGTAATAATAAATAAAAATTTAATGAAAATCAAACAAGCATGATGGGACCCGTAAACTAATATTTTGTTGAACAACCCTTTGAGCCAATCACTTTAATCAAGTGTTTTCTGTAACTCTCAATCAGACTTCTGCACCTGTTGACAGGTTTTTGGATTTTGGTCCACTGCTCATCAGCAAAGTGCTCTCATTTGTCCAGGATAGTTTTTTGATTTTTTTTTTTAATTACTCTTTTCCACCACACTTCAAAAGTAATGTCTTATATCACTAAATTATAATTTTGCTAATTTTTATTTATTATTACTTTTTTCAGTTTCTAGCTATATGAGTGACTATTGTGAATTTTGTCTTTTATTTATTGGAAGGGTATGAATACATTTGAGGACGACTCTGTATGTATTTGTTCATTGATTAAGTTTATAATGTATAGTTTTTACTGCTTGGTTTAAAACTTGCTACATTCATGTATAGAGCTCATTTTTACATTTGTTTCACAAAGGGAATGGTGCATCTTTGTTAGGCCAGAGGACAATAATAAGACATAAATAGCAGCAGTATGTAATGTAAGTCAATAGAAATGACAGATTGCAGTGATAGTGGAACTCTGGTTCAAACCCACAGAACTCCAAATATGTTCCTTTGTTGTTGCAATGCGACGTCAGATCAGTTCTATTTTTAGCCAAATCGCATCTCAAGATGATTTTTGTTTTTGACTGTATATGAACCTCATGTGAACCAGAGGAGGTTAAATATAGCCAGTCCAGGGAGGAAAGGGCTGCATGGTCTTTGTTTTTGTAACGAGCGCTGGATACCAGCGTACAGTGGAACGTGTTCTTGTAGTGATATGGTTTAAAAGAAAAAACACAACATTTTAAAAGCTCTTAAAACAAAGGACAAAGTTTTATTTTTTGTTGACAATCGTGACATTCATTTACAGTAAATTAAAAAAAGAGAATTCACTCCCTGTCACTTTGTTGAAGATGTTGTATGTTGCTCAAGTCCTGATGAAATACACACAGCGTTTGTTGAAGCCTGTACAGGTTCGTCTGAGGCGTTACAATTCAATGTGTCATGTTGTTTTGTTGTGTGTTTACAGACAGAGTACACCGAGGCTCTATAAACAGCAGATGAGAGAAACTCCAGCATCAGAGAGAAATATTTTCTATCTGTATTTGTCTGACAGATGTTTTTTTTTTTTTTTTGCACAGAATAATGAGAGAGCACTGCTATGTAGACTTTTACACATCAAATACTATGTGAAAACACTCTCTACCGTACAGCAGAAACCATTCAACAAGTAGTGTACAAATTAGTTTCTTTTTTAAAAAGTGTGGATCCAGCAAACCAAACAACTTGGACATGCAAATGGAAGTTTACATATTTCAGAGGAGAACTCAAAACCTCTACTCTCAGGGTAACGCCTGTGTAACAGCATTTACAGTTTGGGAACGATGACTAAAAACTAGCATAATCGGTAAAGCTGGTGTTTATACTTATATACTGTTTAAGATCAAACGTAAAAGCTAGTGTTCAAGTAGAAAAAAGCAAAATCCACCTTCCCCAACTAAAAAAAAAAAAAAAAAGAGAAAAACTGAACAAATTCTTACAGCGCAACAGTCAAAATCAGAGAATAAATTAGACAACAGAACTTACAAAAAATAAAAAAAAAATGTGTTTCATTTTATACAAAACAGCTTAAACCTTCCACAGACAGCTTCACCTCAGACATGCAGCTGCTTGTTGTGCACATTTACTCTCTTTACATCTACTCAAACACCTTCTCAGAGCAAATGCACCGGAAGAAACTCTCGACTGTAAACTATCCGTTCTTCGACTAAAATACTAAAACATTTATTTATCTTTTCTTAAAAATGCATGTAATAACAACACCTATGATCATTTTTGACACGTTGGGTCTTTCTGACGTGTCAGTTTTGCTGCTTGAACTCAAGGCACTGAATGATCCAAGTAAGAAGAGCCACGGAAAAAAGGAACGAAAAACAGTAAATGCGTCTCTTTCGGTCTTTCTGCTAATATCACTGTTCTGATTATCATATGCATGTTGAGTAACTCTAGTTCAACTACTCTATCATTTACTGCTCATCCTGCCAATGCGGTCCAGGATGTTTCTATTTAACGCTATAACTGGACAAGAAACTAACCTAGACACCCACACATACACACAATATTGTATTTTGCAGCCTATTGTTTTTTTCAGATTTAATTATCAAAACGTAAAAAAAGTCGGCAACCATAATTCTCGATTGTCTCAAATTATTAACCCAGCTGCTTATTGCCTGGATGAAACGGCCTCGAGTGTACGTGTGTTTCCTCACTGGTTGGTCGGTTACACAGGAGCTAAACGGCAGGAGGTCGGATGCGAGCTGCCGACAGGCGACGCTTAACGTCTCGGAGGCAGAAATAGTCTCTCAGGGTTGAGTTGACCTCAGCAGGCAGAGTCAAAGAACTGTTGTTTCTAGGCTTAGTGCAGGTTAAAGACAAAAAAAAAACTTCCAACAATCCTACCAAATGTTGACCAATCTGTAGCTGAAGCAGACCCCAGTGACCTTTCCTCTGCTGCTGGAGCCTTTTGTGCCTCCAAGAAAAGCAAAAATATTTCCATGTCTCTACAAAGTATTTCCTGTTTTCTGATAAGCTACAACTTGATGGAATGATTCCCTCTAAATGCCTGTGTACGTATTTCATTACCTGCTGATAAATCAAAGTGAACTCCCAGTTATTTTTGACAAATGCATTCAACAAGTCCACCTCCAGAGTTCTGCCACACTCTAAACGTGCTGTCAAAACCTTGTGAGAGGTTGTATTTGCTGAATGACATCCAGTAAATTAAGTCTTTTGTTACTCACTTAATGTGCCACATGCTTGTGCAGGGATTCCAACTTTGATCTGTGCTGCAATTCTAACACGTTACCAACAGAGGTTGTTAGAAGTCATGTGCTAACCAACTCGGTGCTTCTTAAATTCTTTTCAGTCACACACCTGCACTGCGGCAAATCTGTCCACTGTGAGCTTACAGCGAGAGCTGCTCTGTATTTTATCAAAAACAGAGATAGAGGACGCTGTGGAAGTCGCTGCTACCAAACTGAAAGACTCTCCTGCTTTCTCCTTTTTGATCTCCCTGCCTCTCCCTCCTCCTCCTTTTTAAGCCTTTCCTGTTTTACACTAAACGCTTCTCTGTCAGCTGAGGCCAAAGCAGGCTCTGGATCCCAGCCATGGAGACAGACCGAGGCGACGCTGCTGCTGCTGAGCGTGCACCAGCACAAGGTGATGCAGGTGTGGATCAGCGAACAACAGGGTTTCAGTGAGGGGGATAATGTAGAGCATTGTGTGTCTTTGTCAGTGTAGTTTGTGTGCTGGCTGCTCCTGCTTTGGACGGTAACTTCTTTTGCTCACCTTTGTAAGGACCAACATACACGTGTGACCCCCCACAAATAAATGCTTTTGCTCATTTGCACAATTTTCATCAATTTAAAGTCAACCAAACCTTAATACAGTGGAATCAAATCACTGGGAGCAAGAATTAAATAAACCTGGAAGCAAGTATACTGAGCTCAAGACACACAGTGCAGCTCAGAACCGAAACTGCCCTGACTCACGTGTGAAGCCATCTCTTGATAAGGCTTGAATGGGCAGTTTAACACAGTTCTATGCATCAGATCTGCTCAAACCATCACTGACCCATGTTCACACTGACAGCAACACGTTTAAATCAGTGAACAGCTAGTGGGATCACTGTGGTTGCTTTTCAAAAGCAAACTTCCTTCGCAAGTGCAAAATCAAAGATTGAACAGCAGGTGTACAGTCTATTAGGGAACAGTTTCATCCATCACTGGGAGGACACAAGGTAACTGATTAATGCCACATTAGGAAATGTAATGACCCAAATGCTGCACGACGCAGATGCAACACAATCCTTCCGCCCATCTGTCGAATCACAGAGACACAGCGACAGCTCCTTGTTGGGTAACCAACACAAGGTCAGTCCGGCAGATCAGAATATTTTCTGCCAAGTTAAAGTTCAGCACCTTGGTTCAGTCAGCTTTAATATGGATCTTTGGTCATGGTTTACTAAGCTCCACTACTGCCCTTGGCAATGTAACGTTTGCACACACCAACACGTGATTATTCCTGCTAATACACTGCATGCACAGATATTAGGCAAGAGAGTTTATCAGTATTTCTAAACACATTTTACAGCCCCAAACCAAATAAACTGGAGAGATTATTGGATTGAATCATTTTAAGGTGATATGTGTTGAGGTTGTGGCCTAAGGTGATTAACACCTCATATTAAAGTGTGCATAATTATTAGGCAGCTTCATTAGCTCGGGTAAAATGGATCCAGAAAACTTTTAACTGACACTCAAAAATCTAAAATTGTAAACTCTTCAAAGAGCTGAACTATTGAGGTGTGACCACCTGACAAGCAAACATTTTGTTGTGAAAATTGGTTAAGAACACGCAGAGAAGAAAATGAGCAAATTAACTGACAAAGTCTTGAGAAAAACTGAAGCTACCTAGAGGCCATTATTCTCTGGTGCCTGGGATGAGGACAAGAAAGCTGAAATGTGACACCACTGAATAACTTTTTAAGTTGAGGACTCATGATTCCAAGAATTAGCCAATAGATTTTTCAAAGGTTTTAGGGGCAGATGAAATGAGTGATGGAGCAGATAGATGGACCTGTGGCTGCATCACTAATGGCTCCGCTCTGAGTCAGGCACCAGGAAGGTGGAGGTGTGGTGCAGGTACAGTATAAACTAGTCTTATTAAGGGGGAGCTAGTGGGACATTTTTGAGTTGAAGATGGACTGAAAATCAACTCCCCAAATTATTTTCAGTTTCTAGAGGATACTAATTATCCAGCAGTGATCCAGGAAGAGGTCAGCAGCATTTAAGATGACGTCTGTGAAGAGTCTCAGTCATCCAGGTCATGGTTATTCTCGTAGTTTAATCGTAGCAACTGGACTTGCTTGAGTTCTTTGAAGATGTTTCACCTCTCATCCAAGAGGCTTCATCGGCTCTGACTGACGAGTTGGGAGTTCCAGATACTTCTGGATATTCTTTTGGAGCCATGAACACTTTCAGTTTCAACTGGGGGTTTGTTGCTCCTCCCCCTCATTATGCGAGTCGTTAGGACTCCCTCCACTACAATGGGGTTCGTTAGGATCTTTTTTTGCTAACTCAAGCAAGTCCAGTTGCTACGATTAAAAAACGAGAACATTTAAGATGATGTTTATGCAGGACAATGCTTCATCACAAGCCTCCATCTACTGCTATCCTCAAAAATGACTGAATAGTGATCTGGCCTCCTTTGCTCACTTAACTTCAGTCCTACTAAGAACTTGCACTTCTCAAGTGTGAAATCTACAGTGAGGGAAGACAACTGACCTATGTGAAGAGCAACTGAGAGGCTGTGGTTGCTGCTTCATTAAAAGTTGATGGCTAACAGATGAAAATACGGAAAGATTTCATTGAGTGAAGGCTCGTGGCAGTTTTGGAATATTAGTTAATCTATCATTTGTGTTACATATTTGCACTCTAAAAACCTAAAACAAATAAATCAGTTGGGATGAAGTTTTTGTACTTTTCTGTGTAATAATTGTGCACACTATACTACACCATATAATCCCCTGAGAAAGGCAAAACTCAGTTGTCCTTTGAGAAACATTCAAGTTTCAGGTTCAGTAACATTTTGGATTATTCTAAACAACATCTTACTGAAACAGTAAAATGAACCTAGATGAATACAGTCTTCCTAATAATTTGTGCATGCAGTGTAGTGCTAGCTTCACTGACATATGTTCTTGACGATATTGCTGCAACTGACTGATATTTAGGTGTTTTTGGTCATCTGGTAATGCTAACTGGCATTTAGTCAATGACGTGGTAACGATGCTACAAATTCTGATGACGGCTCATTGACGCGACACACAGATGTACAGAATGTCACAAGCCTCGAAAAAAAATCAATTCTTGCCATTTCTACATCCGGGACCCGTGGATCTGGAAAAGCTGGGAAATGAAAGAGAAACAGACATTATGGTTTGCAAGATCTATTGCACTACAATCTACTAATCATTTGACACAAGCTAAGCTATGCTTTGGCTGTGATGGTGGTGATGATGATGGACATGTTGAGAGAATGACAGTAAATGGTTCAACTGACATGCATAATGACTGGGAACATTGACAAGACACACATCTTGACCGTTCATTATGTGTCCATGTAAGTGTGTGCCTATAACAATTACTTTTTGATGTTTAAATGTTTTTATGTGGTGGGTAATACCGTATGTGATTTTACATTGACACTGTACACAGACTGGGAAGGACATCTAACACTACTGCTGCACTCAAAGGTCAGGGATATTCCATGTCACAGCATCGGTAATGAGAGCCCATAGAGATGCAGCGCTCAATCAATACCTGTACGGCCATGTCAGGTCACTGTTGGATCGCACTGAGCATGTGCACAGCTGCTGCAGGTCATTATGATAAGCAGAACAGCAAAGCGACACTTTTATTCATTGGCCAATCAGCGAAATGCACTGCACACCATTGTTTTATCAATGTTTGTTTGATCGACAAGGATGAATTTTCAGCAGTGAGATGAACTGTATTTAACCGACGGACATTTTGAAACTCAGCCTCCCAACATGTTCTACTTCCAGCCAAAAAGTAGGCTGTATCACAGCGGCTTCTTCTAACAGATGCTTCCCCTTCTTCTGTGATGCCAGCTGTAAAAATGGACTACTGAGGGAAAGACACTGGTGGATGTTTGAGGGCAGTTTGGTTCATTTGCAGAGATCATCAGTGGATGATCTTAAGACTAGAGATTTGTCTCACACTGATGAGAATTTTCTGTTTTCTCAGCAACGGAAGTCATCTATAGGGCTCCACATATATTCAGCAATCCCATTCCTATCACGGTTTACGTTTTCTGTGCTCTACATTACAAATATTTTTATTTATTTAGATATCATGTAGCAACTTCTCATGTCGGTGCTAATGTTGAAGATAAATATGTATGTTCTATTGCCTGAAAATTTATTTTCAGAATCTGATATCTGCTACTCTTTATCCTCCTATTACCTTCATATTTACTGACATCTTTTATCCTTGGGTTCAATTTGACCCCAGCAATTTAAACCTCCAGAAAAAATTAATAATTAAAATTGTTTTCCAAGTTTATATGTAAAGAGCCCTTTAAATAAAATTGAAAAAAATATGTCAGTGACTTATTTAAAGATGTTAAACATTGGTTGGGGTCACACTGACCCCAAAGATAAGAAGAGGGTTAAAACCTGGGCATCACTTTCCCGTATTTGTGTGTAAATGATTGATACAGACACAAAAATCTGTAGAACTGAAACAGCATTGAGTGAGAACACTATAATCAGGAACCACAAAACCTCTGCAATGTAATCTATTTGTACATACTACTGGCTTAATGAGCAGTTATTTTTGCAGTTATCCTGCTGTGAATGTGGGTGTACAGATACTGATGAACATAATCTCTGCTCTGGCTGCAGCAGCCATCTGCATTGGTACAGCATTTCACTTTAGGAAGGAAGTACTTTGGTGTTGTATTTCTTCTCCTACTCGTGTGGCAGCAATCGTTGCAGTCAAAAAAGGTCACTGCAAACATGATTGTGTCTGCATGTTTTCATCCATTTGTAGCACTAGTCACAACTTCAGCCTACAAAAGCATTGCAAAGTGTACCACAATAACAGTAAGCTACAGTTCCTGCATTCTAACTCTGCAACATGACTCCACTTTGACCTGAGGGATGTACTTCAAAGCAAGTTTGACACAGCCAGGCTTTCTTTGAGGAAGCTGCCACGGCAAAAACTGAAACACTAATCAGAGATAATGAGTGTCACGGCAATGGGTGTCAACTTTCGTTGTTAACCAGGCTTTCTTCTTTGGGCTTTAATTTACATAAAAGGGAGCCTTTGACACATCTTGTAACTCTTCTTCCACACAAACTGCACCAATGGTGTGCTGCCTACTTTAGCCAGAGAAACAGGTTGTTGTAATGGAGAGCTATGAACAATATCAACATTTATTATGTTAAAAAGTGCACAAGAGGAATTCTGGTAAAACACTGTTAATGGAGAAACTGAATATATGTATTTTGCCACTCAGTGATTCGAGCTGTCGTGTGTCAAGCTTCAGTCATTTAAGCATAATACTCAGGAAGTGCATTTGGGTCTGACAGTGTCTCGTAATGAAGGATACATGGAAATCCTTATCGTTTTTGGCCAAATCAGAGTCAAATCTAAGTCACTGATCTAATATTCTCTGTGATAAATATCAACAGACTACTCAATTTCCTAATCTTTGTTCTATCAGCTGCAGCACCAGAAGCATTTACTTGGCAGCAAATCAGGAGCAAACATGAAAACATATTTGTGTTTTCTGCATCACCATGTGAATGCAAGTAGGTTCCCTTAAAAATGCGACACACACAGTTTGCCTGATGAAACTGCACAGCTTTGTTTAGTGGGATTACTAACGCACAGCTTAACAGGTTTGAAAATTCTGTATCGCTTAGCGAGAATCACCAGGAAAGGTAAAAATTAGTCGCTTCTTACAGACTATTTAAATTCGAAGTTCTAAACATAGCGTGCTCCAGAGCAGGTTGGTTGTGCAGCTGTGTTACCACGTTTATCTAGCTGGTTAAAAAAAGAGCCATGTGACATTGAAAACTCTGTCCTTAGGCTCAGCATACCTCATTAGCCCATTAATCTTGTTTCGTAGTACGCTACTCTGGACTCACTCATGTTTACAGTACTGTCTTCCTGCAACAACTCACCTCCTGCAAGATTTCAGAGCGACACTTCTCTTACATGTTAGACACACGTCTGTCTTTTTAGGAATCTGAACCATATTGTTGTCGCACACTTTTACTTTGACAAAGACAAATGTTATGTGTGATTGCATTGCAGTTGTTTTGCGGATGTAATGTAAACTTGTGTTAAAGCTTACTGGCTCAATACTGGACCCGTTTCAAACTAGCTGGTCCCTGTGAGTAAAACACACCCAAAACATGGGAAAATAGGACCCAGGTTTAAAAATACCACAATTATCCTTTAATTGAATCTGATAAATTTAATCAACATAGCAAACCAAAGCTTCCTTTTATAGCAGGCAAGTTTGCACACGTGCTTTGTCGAGATAATTTATTTAACATTTCCCATCAGTCTCTAAGCCGCATGTTTACCCTCTACGGTCGCTCCAATTGTGAACGACTAAAAAAAGCCCTCAGCAACTTTGTAACACGAATCTTGGCTTTTGTGCTGGAAAAAAAGCAAAATACTACAAATTCAAATTCCATTTTGCTTTTTAGCTACGTAAACTATCATGCGGCGTTACAGCACACATTGAAATAGATAAAGAAAAAAGAAGTACTGACTTGTTTCAGTGATAAATCTTTAGTTTTTATAGTGCAAAAAATCTGAGGCACCAGAACAATAAAAACAAAACCCAACTAGATTGATGAAACTTACAGCTTCATCTGAGCTGCTGAAAATGTCCCTGTAATGTCTTAGCGTTCTCACTGCTGTTTACATTCGTCCCATTTTTTATACGCAGATTTCCGTTCACAGAAACAGACAGACGGCTTGGAGATCACACTCAATGCTGTGCCATGAAACACCCTTATATATATATATATATAATATTTCTGTAGACATCACACACATACACACACACTAAAATCTACTAGGTCTACCAACTAGCACATCTTTTACACAGTTCCTCACCCATTCCAGCCTCTCTTTGGAACAAAGAAACATGACTCCCTCATTCTCTAAGCCACTCATTTGGTGTGGTATCTCTCCCTCCCTCCTCCTCCTCCTCATCCTTCGCTGCTTCCTCCTCTTGCATCTCTGCCGGCTTCATTCGGCAAGAAGGAAGGAGGGGGAAAATACAAAAGAAAAAGAAAAAAAAAACAAGACAGAAAACGACAAAAATGAACACGCTGATGAGTGTCAGTGAGTGGACAGTGAGAAGTTGAGAGGTAAATACAGAGACAGATATATATATATCAATATATCCAAGTGAGAGACACAGAAAACAAACTGATACAGTGAGATAGACAGGCGGGTGATCGATAATAGCAGGAAAGAGAGGCAGAGCCGTGTGAATGATGGAGTGAATGTATTTGTGAATGACATTTCGAGGCGAGTGACATTTGGAGCTTTCAGTGGAGAGCACAGGATCAAAGCACACTCGCATCCACTTCAACGTGAGGGGACACCTCTCTGCTCTTTCACACATAACACGAACAAAACAGAAACACACACATACGACACAAGGAAAGAGCCACATACGAACGCACAGCTTAGCAGCATTATCCTACTGCAGGTCTTTAAACATGTATTTGTGTTTGTGTGAAAGAAAAGAGATTCACCTTTGTCTTGTGACTCTGTTCTGTACCCAGCCCGGATCCGGGCGTGTGAAGCTCCTTGGATACCACACAGAGAAATTCAGCCTGGTCCTCTGTTCCATAGCTGTACGACGAGCCGATGTTCACCATCTACAAATGGAGCGAGACACAGATCCAGAAAGATATGCGGAGAAGAGAGGGACAGAGACAAAGAGACAGTGAGTGTCAGGAAGCAGAGAAAACAGAAAGTAGCTGAAAGAGCTGAAATCTCATACTGAAGCAAGGAAAGATTCTTGTGCTCATGCATGGTGGGGGTGGGGGGAGGCAAAGAGCGGACAGCTTTCTATTATGCACGCAGTAGTGGACTCAACAAAAAGCCTTGTTTACTCGTGGGAATAATAAAGCAACTGCAGGTCAGCTTCTGCTGGACAATGTGCGCAAATTGTAGCTGTGCAGCATGCAATTGAGTTAGGTGCCAAAGCAGAGACGTAGAGGAGGGAGGGAGGGTCAGAACGTGACTTTAAGGCTACAGAGTGGATATGCTGACCAGTTTAACTCCATTATGCTCTTAGTTGAAAGGCCATTAAATTAATTACAGACTCAAATCAGGAGATCTGGCCTTCTTCTTGAAAGATAATGTTAGCACTGAAAGACTTCAAGCAATTACTGACATTACAATGCCTCAGAAGATCAATACAATCAATACATTAGTATGTACTTCCTGCCTACATAGTTAATGGGTCAGTTCTTTCCAGCAGACTGTCAATAATGTGACAGTAAATACTGGGCTGCAATTATGAACCTTTGGTCATTTGCCACAGTTAGGCACTTTAAATGTTTAGTCTCACAACTGTTTTTATCAGCCTGCAATGGTAAAAAGCTTTTGTGAATTCTCAGAGGCCTTGATTATGTCCTCAGTTTACTGCTTGTTGACAAAATCGGAAAATGTTCAATTTGTCAGCTGTGACAAAGAGAAAAGGCAAAGTGTTCCTTTTAAGAAGCTGAAAGCAGCAATGGCATTTATGTTTCGTTACTCATCAGTAGTTTACTTATTGATCCTGTTGCTCACATTGTGAACACATCACTTGTCTCATTGAATCTTTCTCAATCCTGTCATTTGTAGTGGATTTAATAAACATTTAGTGGATTCTTTGAATTCGCTGAAAGGTTCTTTAGTATAGTTTTGCAAATGACTCATTTTCAAACAGGACCAAAGCTGTATTGATTGTGTGATTATCTCAGGCCAAACCCACAATCGATCCTACCATTGTGTTCTTCGTTTGTACTGTACCGCAGCAGGTTATGGATTCTGTGGCCTGCAGAAGTCCATCCTCTTTAGATATTCTTAAAAACAACCTTTAAGATTACACCGACTGCAGTTATGATAGATTAAAGTGCTACTTAATGTCAATAAATCAAGACAATGGACACAATCAGATATAAGGGTAATTCTGGGAGTGCACATAGCAGGGCTCAGGTCAGGGCCAAGGGGTCAGACCAAGGATCAGGATTAAAGGGTCAGCAGCAGCGTGAGTCCAACCCACAGTCCAGAGCAGTCCGGTGCGGGGCTTTCTGCAGGCGCGCACGCTGACCTGCTCAAACTTCCAGCCGTCCGACATCGTGGAGACCATCTGGGTCAGCTCCTCCTCCTGACACTGCAACACCCGGTAAACATGCTTCGGGGGCACCTGCTGGGGAAAGAGAGAGGAGGGCATTGAGGGCACAGGAGGCAGATGAAAAGGAAGGTGTAATCCTTGTCAGAAAAACACAGAAAATAGTTTGTATTTACAATTAAAACTTTAACGTTACCAACACTGCTAGACTGAAATGTTCTTTCTATTGTACGAGCCAAACAATCCATGTTTCTTCTATATGAGTGCAGCTGTTGATTATTTTTTAACGGGAGGACAGGAGAGTGCTCCATCTTGTATATATTTTGCACTACAGACGCTTCAATTCTCACTCTTGTAAGTAGAGGATATAATCACAAATGTTTGTGTTACCTGATAATGTCAGCGCATACAATTATAACAGGCATTGTAGATGTTAACATGAAGCATGCAATGCTGATCACAGTTTCAAGATTATTATTTGCTGAAGGTAAAACAGTCCTGCAACTTGACTAGAGTATCACACAGTAGCCTAACATGACAGCAAGTACAGTCATTTGATAGGAGTACATAAGGACACGTATATCTGTAAAATGTGAGAAATACAGAGACAGGTGAAGTGACAATAACAATTATTTGAACACAACCCCTGAGTCTTCTGTAACTGCAATAAAAGCTTCCCAACAACTGGTAATTTGTTGAAACCAAAGCTAGACAGACATCAGAAAATGAAACCAAAATGCCTGCATTTGTTAAACGCACTCAACCGGAATTTGCAACCAACCCTCTCCCTCAAAACGGTCAACTATGTGGAAACCAATGCAGTTGATTGCAAAAAAAAAAAATGTAAACGACTAACAAAAAAGACAAAAAAAACCCCACAAAAAACCACAAAAACTCAATTATTACATGAACGATACAAGCACCTACAACAAAAAAAGAAACACACTCATATGTTGCAGTCATTCTATGTGGAATAAAACAACAGCTCAGCCACTGAATGACTACATCTCATTTGTTCAGTGAACATTTCAAAAGCTGAGATGGTGGACTGCAGTTAAAGAGAAAAAGAAATAATGTGGTCACGGGTTAGCTGGAAAAACCTGCACTTCTATTTTCATATTTTTGCAAACACTAGCAGTGAGTCCAGTGGAGTACAGTAGAACACAGGGACAGTGGGTGTATGTTAGAGAGGGCAGAGGGATTATGTAAGAGTGAGTGCAACCATCCTGAGAAAAGAAAAGACAGGAGAGAGAGGCCTGATCTACAGCACTGATCTCCTCAGAGAAGCACAGAGACAGCTGAGGTCACTAACAAAAATTACCAAAAGGCATTTTATTACACAATAATGGAGCATGTGCATGTTTGTACAGTATGTTTTGGGTCTAGACAGTATTACTAGATAAAGCACGGTACACAATAGCACAGCTAGATGCAACACAATATGGTTTAAGAAGACGAATACGATTGCTGTGCTGTATATCTTTAATTTGATGCAGACACAATACGTGGTAGTCTCAAAAAAATGAAGTGCAATGACTGAGAAGATCCGTGTTTGACTGTTGCAGCCCTTATTACAAAAAACACTTTGAAAGGTTGTGCGCATACCTGTGTGGCTTTGGAGTCCCTCTCTACGATCCTCTCCTTAATGAGCTTGATCAGTGGTGTGATATTGTAAAACTCAGCCTCCTCCAGGACACCTTGGACCAAAAGAAACACAACTCAGCGACAGTGTGACACATCAGTGCAGCGGCTGTCAACTGTTTTTTTGGACACACTGTACCCTCCATGCCAGATGAACTCAAGTGCCCCTCCATCACAGTACAAAACAAATTCATATAAACTGGACATTATTTAAACATGCCATCATGACATAAAAGTGAATATACCGAAATGGTGGATGTTTCATTTCAACTATTTAACTGTGCTTCCACTCCTGTTTCAATTACCTACTTAGTGCTTTAGGCTGTTTTATCTTAATTCTTTATCTCTTAGCTACTTATCTCATTGTCCATTGCTTTAACATAACTACTTCGTAGCTGTTTCAGGCACTCTTAGTCCCGACTTGTGATGTTATACAGCAGCTGGCTCAATATGTGGACCAGGGCTGAACGGTTTGGGGAAAATATCTAGTTGAGTTTTTTCTGACAGACATTACTCTGGTGACACCATTTTTTAGAGTCCTGTTTCAGATAAGTATTTGCTGCGAAACAGATTGACAACATTTGATGGAGCCACATGAATTACTAATAAAAGCGTGACTGTCACACAAGAAGAACGGCATCAGTTTGTAATACAATTGACATGGCAGTTTAAAGCCTGAGTTAGACGCTCTGCATAACTTATATCTTGATTTGAAGCCTTTGCAATTTGGTAATTGAACTGTTCCAAATCGTGGCTTTGATTTATTTAATTGTTTAGCCCAATAATGGACATATATTTTTCATCAAAAATTATTTTGATTACCAATCCACAAACTAGACTTGGTAAGAAAAGCGCCGTTGTTGAAACATTTACAAAATCTGCAGACACACTATATACTGTAAATTCACATTTACGATGTATTTAACAGGCCACAGGGACTTATGAAATCATGAGAGGCAGTGTGTAGTATTTTCCAGGAATTTCCTTATTTTTACAAGCTCAACGAATACACAAACTCATGCACCCAGAACCCATGAACGTGAAGTGTATTAAACCTTCTTCAGCGAGCTCCTTGTTGTAGACCAGTTTGCCGTGCCGCAAGTAGTTAAGGATGGGGCCGAAGTAGGTGGGGTCTCTGTCAATCACGTAGGCTCCTGTTTCATCCTGTTACAGAGGAGGAATCGGAGACAGAAAGAACAATGTCTATTATACCATCATCACATCATCAATTGCATGTATTTCATCAACACATTTTCTTGTTTTATTATGAACCATAGAAATTTTTTTTTTATTAACTTGAAGCACAATTTTATTCTGCTGTAACTTAGACTGACTTTATTGATGCCAGAGGGAAATTCAGTTGTGACAGCAGCAATATTTAACAAAGGCGTAAACAAAGCAAAAAGACAACACAGAAGATTAGGGTAGGGTATAAAATGAAGGTTAAAGGAAGTCAAATAAAATAAGATAAAAATATAGAAATATAATATAGAAAAAGTAGACAAATTTACAACAATATATAAGAAAGATACAGAAATGTGCAAATGAACAGAATATGCAAATGTTCTTAGATTAAAGCATTAAAAACTTCCTGCTCAACATAACTTTTTGTGGTCATGTGCAACTTAATGCATTCCACGTGTGTACTCGAGTTTTTGCTGTATTTGTATTCATGAAATGTTTTGCAATATTTAAGCAGAAAGATAACAGAACTGGCAGCAGTTGAATTTTCCCAACCTTAATTTAAAAAAAAAGAAAAAAAAAAAAAAAAAAGTTCTCTTCTCTTTATTAAACTTCATTTTCATTTCTTTTCAGAGCTCCTGAACAAAAGCCTGAGCAGGATACTGGCTACCGGCACTCTGAGCAGATGACGGTGACTTTCGTGCTCACACGTGTGTCGACAGCCTGCTTGTCTCCCACCTCCAGGCTACTTCTGCCAAGGATGCCTGGCTGTTATGTCATGAATACTGTCCCTCCAACATATACACACACATCCTCCCCCTGCCCTTCCTCGTGATGACTGCTTGAAGCACAGCCGCCCTTTTAGAGCTAAATTCACAAAAGAACTGCGACCGGAGAAGTTCATATAAAAACATAAATGCCTTTTAGGAGATTCAAGCAGGGGGATATAGAGGGCTAGCTGTTGGAAACTGCATAAAAGAACATCACTGGCATCGGCTGACTACGTGTCCTTAACAAATGGGTTACTTCGGTACAGACAGAAGCAGAGAGTGCAGGCAGAAAAACTGAGATGAAAGAAACAGGCAACGTTGCATTCACAACTTTGACCTTGAAAACCAATTCTGTGACCCATAGGAAGTAAATTCAAGAATTTACAACTTTTCCTGCGTCACATCAACTACATGTTTAAAAAGGGCATATAAATAATAAGTAATTCCTAAAATAACATCATTTCTGGGTGATGAAGTTCTCCCGCTTGAAACTCATGCCTCCTATTTGCAGACTGGGGACATCAGAAAGCGTCCTTGCACGGCTTTAACGCTATATTAGAATTTGGCTGTTGGCATGTACATTACTATTTTGGGCCTCCATACATGCATCGGACAAGACAGATAAAACACAGAGTCAAAGAGCTGGAAGAAGATGTTCAGCTTGATAAAGAGAACCCGCTCTGTTCATGTGACTAACTCTTTTAACTGCTTACTGAGGCGGCAAGATACAACCTTGGCCTCCAGCAGCGTCTTGCACAGATGGATGTTAGCGCTTTCATTAGCACGTCCTGCACATGCACAATACAGCTCGCGTAACGGTCATTTTTATAAACTTCTATTATTTGATTATTACCTCACCTCGAAGACTGAACCCACACAAAAGCATTCCTACACTGTTAAAAGGTAAATACTGCTGATGTGCGTGCCACTCCTGGTCCAGCTGGATGCATGTGTTAAAAGGTCTGTATCTCCCGCACAGTTCTTATTACACTGATGTAAACCTGGATAAATTAAATAAACATGTCTCACTGTCCAAGTATTTACAGTCTGGACTATATGTTTTAACAGCTTGGGATTTAATGTTGCTTTCACACAATTAAATAGGAGCTTACCTCAACTTTCAGGCTGTTACTTGCAAGTTTGCAATTTGTGTATGAGGAACTGCAATATTATCAACTCTTACATTCAATGTAGATGTGCAAATGGGTAATAAGCAATCGAGCTGGTTTACAGGTAGTTTGCTTTTTCTAAATTCCTTCCTGTATGGATGGAGAGACTATTATTTCAATCTGAGGCTTGACCTGTTGAAGTAGCTTTTTTTTTTTACCCAAAGCTCTGGATAATGTGTTTGGAAGGAGAAGCCTGGAGGAAGGGCCATTTCTGTTTGGAGTAGTTATAAAATTAGGCAGATGGGGGGTTGGTTGAAGTGAAGTCTGGGTCAGTATTGTAACTGTCTCTCTATTTCTTGTCCTCACTGGTAACAGACTCTGAGCTGTTAGTGGGGTACTGAAGAAGTCCTCTTTCTGAAGAACCCTCAACCTCAATCTTTCCTTCCATAATATGCAGCTGGAGGCAGTGACCCAAGCTCTTCATGAGCCATAGGTTAAGTATTAACTACATGGAGTATTATTTAGACGGACTGTACCACAGTGCTTAAGTGGAAATAGGTACAGAACAGAATGGCAACCCAATCATGTTAAACTACATGGATACCACGGACTCTGAAATGTATTTTTTCATGCATTATTCCCCTTCCACCTGAGAGGTTCCTGTACCAACACCAGACAGTTTCTGCTACTAAAATGCAACCCGCCACCATTTTTTAAAGGTTGTCAAGCGTGGCACATTCCCTGAAGAGGATGTTTTGCACTACTATGACTAAAATGGATGTAGCATTGTTGTGCTTCACTTCACTCCTAAATTGATCATTTCGATCAGATATTGTATTTCAGAATTATCCAAGTGTTTCTTATCCATAGAGCTCAACGTTGTTCATTTTGGTCCTACAGTTGTAGAGCTGCAATTTACAGAATTTAGTGCTGTTGTTTCAGATGGAAATTTTACAAAACAGCCAAGGGCTTGAGGGGTTTATAAAACTGAGTCACACCTACCTATAAAAGACAGTGAAGTTTAACATGGAAGTTATGCTGCCGTTTGCAATGCCAGCACATAATTTGCACATTACTGATGTCTGCTGTGGTGCTACCCAATTTAGAAAAACACAAGTCTGAAAGAACTAGTAGTTAGGAATTTATGAGGAACTCTCACAAACTTAGAAATGGCTTTCGCAGGTTTATTCTATCCTGCAGGGACTGATTGGTTGTAACACACAACTGCTTCCATCCACAATGCAGATTCTCCATCCCAGTAAAGCATCAGTATCTACAGCTGTGTCTATTAACCTAACCCATCATCTCCAGCGTGACAGACGGTAGCAACAGAAGCAATTCCAAAATAAATACAGATTCAGGAGAAGAGGAATGTTCTGCGAGCAGCAAGAACAGATTTTTGAATGACAGATGGTGTGCCATCTTCCCAATTTTCATGGGGAGAATTACTCTGTCCCCGACACTCATTTCACTCAAATCCAGCCAATCTTCCGCTGAGCTGTTTCCAATGTGAGACATGAAATGAATATATTGAATAAGGATGGCTACAAACACAAATGGATGAATTCAGACTGTGCGGCGGTCTGTTGGGTGGCGATGCAGCAAGGTAAGGGATGGATTAGAGGAGAAAAAGACAAACAGGAAAAGCAGACAGCAGCCAGGGAGAGACGTGGAGATCATCGGAGGGCAAAACGTAAAAATGAAAATAGTGTGACACGATAATAAAATCAGAAATGAAGGCGAGGCAGATCTCCAAATACCAAATAAGCACAAAGAAACAGAAGGACGCTGTCAAGAAACAGGAGATGAAGACACACGAGGCTTTCATGTTTGTGTGCGTGAGTGACTAAGAGACACAAAGAGAGGATAGATGCAGGATGGAGGGATGTGATATGAAGACCAACAGGCAGAGTGTATAAACACAGCGTGTGTGTGTCTGTGCTGAAAAATCACTGTGATTAGAGCGAGGAAGGGCTGTGACTGCAGCACAGAGCGTAGACGGCGGCACATGCGCGCGCACACCGTCCTAAATGAGTGGAGCTGCAGTGGAGGACGGACCGACGCCTCATCAACGTGACTTGACTTGACAGTGTGGGCATGACAACACGGGGGAAAAAGCTTTCTGAGAGTCTGAGTTTCTCTCTCTTACATACACACAAACACAATTTGCAGTCATTCATTTGGATAAATCCATTTGCAGCTCAAGTACAATGATTCTATTATAATTTTTAAATATGGTAGATCAACAATTACGCATCTGTAAAATTCTCTGTTAAATGCAGTCTGTAACCTTCTTCTTGTCATTCTCTTCTCTTGTATTTTCTACAGATTGAACAATAAAGCTAAATAATAATATCTGATATGCTAAGAAAGCTCAGAAGCAAAACGGCGGCTTGTTTGGGAACGTTTCTGATACATCAGCGGAAGTTAAGGATGCAAATTTCATAGTAGGATGTAAATCTTCTACATCTGCTTGTGTCAACAGTGTTCAACAACGTGATGCTCCTACAAAATGAAATATCCAAAACCAGTAAGCCACACTGTTTGACTACAACATTCATCACCATGGAGCCAGGAAAGATGTTCCCACTTGTGGGTACTTCAGAGTTTTAGAGGTCTTTCACCATTTTTTGAATTTAATTTGTAGCTGTGGCGTTCTAACAAGATAATATTTTCAGTTGCTGAGAGGGCAGAGACACTAGTTGGTGAGTTAATGGTTTACAGAGCATTTGTTCAGGGAAATAGGCTCCACCACATCTCCCTTCAGACGTGTATGCATCCCATGGGCTCTCACCCAATAGCCAGACAAAAGCCCTGTTCACTTCTCAAAATATGCACACACATACCTGCCTGCCTACACACTGCTGCTGCTGCTTGCTGGAGCATGTGTCAACAATGGAGCTGACGGATACTGAAAATTGCAAAATGCTATTTTCATTTCAAAACATTTACTGCTCAAGAGGCAGATTTCAGAAGAACGAGTGCAGATGTTCCATTTTTCTGGCTGATTCAACATGACACCTGCCAGTCACTCTCAATCAATCAACAGTCAGTCAGTCTAGGCTTGTCTTATGGTAAGTGTCTACAGGATTCATCATTTCCA